ATTTGATTAAGTATTTTTAAAGTATTTGTATTTTTAAGTACTTAGATTCTATGCAATGTGGTGCATTTTTGTTATTGATATTGATTTGTTATTTATTGTGCCTTTAAGCAAAATTCAGCTCCTCTGCTTATCTCTTTTTATCATGTTTATATTTGCTGTAGCCTTATCTAAAATCCTGATTGCTAAACATGCTTTTTTTCTTTAACTGAAGCATAATAGATATTTCTTCAGTTCCTCAGTTTAATTCCATGTGATTTTTTTGTTTCATATGAGTTTCTTATAAGCAACATATTATTGGAGAATGTTTTCTAATCTATTTTGTAATCCTCTTCCATTTTATCAGTATATTCACCCCATTCACATCAATGATTATGCTTTTTGATTGTATATTTTCCTCCATCCTGTCTTCTTGAACTTTTTCCTATCTTTAGTCTCTCACCTTTTTACCGAAACGGAGAAGGTGGTAAAAGAGAGGGTGTTTGCTTGACATGATCTATAAATAAAATGACCTATTCTCTGTCTGTTTTAACTTTTCTCTTATTTTTGCCTTATCCCCAATCCTAGGGTTTTGCTCCCCTTTTTTCCTTTTGATCCCCCCTTCACATTTTCACTCTGACATTTTAGTTTATTTCTGTTCTCCCTCTTAGGTCTTTCTCTAGCCCTCCCCTGTTCCTGTCCTCTCCTATTTCTCTTTTGAGTTTAATGTATTTCTATATCAAGGAGTGTGTGTATGTGTGTAATTGAGTTTCTTTTATCTGATTCAGATGAAATCAAGGTTCATGGAATACCTATTCCCCTTACTTTCCTCCCTGATTAAACTCATTTCATCTTATACACCTTTATTGTGTAATAATGATTTCCTCTCCTTTCTTCCCCATATAGTTTCCTGTCTCTTCCTTTTTCTTGATCCTTTCCTGAGACCATTAGAAGAGGAAAAAAAAAAACCCACCCCTAGAGCCTTTCACTATGATCCTTACAGATATTAGGATTCTTAGAAAATGTATTTCTTATTCCCCCATTAGCATACAGATAATATTTCTCCACATCTTCTGTGTCAGTTAAACAAATGTATATACCTTTCTATGTTTCTCTTGGCTTCTATGTTCCCATTTCAAAATGTCTACTTGGTTCTGACTTTTTCACTGAGATTGCTTAGAAATGAGGGTAACTGACAGACTTCAAACCCATCAGTGAATTAGGGGAATGTCTACTCAAGCATGTGAAGACTTCCCCTGGCAGAATGGGCAAATGAGAACAATCTGTTCCAATAGTCATAAGGGTGTCTGGAGCAGGTGCTGTGGAGCACTTACAGCTTGGTCAGACATTGAAGATACCAAGGTCTTCCACTGTATCCTGGACCATCTGCAGTAGCTGATGATTCTGGAAAGAGAGTGAAGTTGATAACTTTGTGCAACTCATTTAAATCAAGTTCACTTAAAAGTCAAGACATCACCCTTGTGATGTCATTAATCCTCTTTGCAAAGGAAGGACAGACAACAGCTTAGAAATACTCTGTTCTATCAAAGGGCCACTCTGCACTCCCCTTCACCTCTGGCCACTCTGAAATTATACTTAGTTTTGTTAAATAGGTTATTCTTGGTTGTAAGGTTATAATTTGTTGACTTTTGAAATATCAGATTCCAGTTTCTACTCCCCTTTTTAGTGATAGTTGCAAAATATTGTGTGATTAATACCTTGGCTCCCTGATAATTGAATCCTTTCTTTTTAGCTGCTGTTAGTATTTTTTTGAATTTGACCTAGAAACTCTGAATTTTGGCTATGGTGTTCCTGAGAGTTTTTATCTTGGGATTGCTTTCAGAAGGTGATTGATCATTCCTTTCTATTTTTACTTTGACCTCTGATTCTGAATTCTAGGCAATTTTCATTTATAACTCATTGAAATCTAGTGTCTAGGCTTTTTTTTGGATGGTGGGAGATAATGATTTTTCAGATAATCTGATAATTCTCTCCTTGACCTGTCTTTCAGTACAATTTTTTTTAATATTATACTTCTTTCTGTTCTGTGATTTTGTTTTAATATTACTGTCTCATTAAGTTGTTGTTTTATTTGTCTTATTCTAATTTTCCACAACATTCAATTCTTGGATTAAATTTTCCATAGTCTGATCTAAGGTGTCAATTTTGCTTGCCATTCTTTATTCTTTTCTTGTTTCATTCTTCTAGGTACTCTTGGTCTTGGGGTCAGGACATTTTTTCCCCCTCAGATGCTTTAATTGAACTTGTTCTGAGGTTGCTCTCTTCCTTGGGGTTTACCCCTGGGTGTCTCTCAGTCAAAGATCCAAATTGTGGTATGTAGATATAATAGGACATTATTATCCTGTAAGAAATATGGAAAGATAATTTCAGGGAGTTCTGAGTAGTATGAGCTGACAAAGTGGGAAATAAACAGAACCATGGGAACAGCTCATAGGACAACAGTGTTGTAAAGAAAAGAAACTTAGAAAGACTTAAGAAATGTGATTAAAACACTAATCAATCATATCTTCAGAGGATCTTTGATGAAGTAGAACTATTCCAGAAGCAGACTCCTGGAGGGATGCCATCTGACCCCCCATGCACCAGACCCCCCCCATTACATATAAAATTCTTTTTGCTCTCTGCTATGTGTATGAAAATGTTCTTCCTTTTTTTTTTTTTGGTGCTCAAGTTTAGAATGTGAAAAAAAATGATAATAAAACTACTTTTTTTGTTGTTTTTTGGTGAGGCAATGGGGGTTAAGTGACAAAATTAATTTTCAAAAAATCTTATAGAGGAGAGAGGTGGGATAGATTTCTATCTACGTAGATTCATTGCTACAATATCCTTGTTGAATATTTTTTCTATGCTATGGTTAAGAGAACCTCTTTTTGTTAACTATTGAATGATTTGTCAGTGTCTCATTTCATTCAAACATTGAACCTAAACTGACAGGTGTGAATCAGGCCCACCTATTACAAATGCCATTGGAAGGAGAGAGAGGAAATGAAGGTGGAAAGAAGGTCAGTGTGCAATTGTTGTGCCCCAAGAAAGGGCTCTGGGACATTTGAGGTTCCCCCAAACAGAGACTAGATTATTAGAAATCCATAGGTTTTGACACTGACAGTGGAGAGGAGAGCTGCAGCCTGGCTCTGAAACATGATGGTTTATGGCTTTGATCCAGCACTTGGCTGGCACGTTGTGCCTGGCACAAAGGAAGTGTTAATAAATGTTAGATGATTGACTGATAGATGACACAATGACAACCAGCAAGTACATGGAAACCCATAGTCCATTATTAGAAATCACATACATTCTGTGGAGCACAACTAAAGAGGAGCAAAGCATCAGGTCTGAGTGACCAGGAAAGGATTCAAAGGAGCAAACTAGCATTCAGGGAGCACAATGGTACTATGGTGAGAGACACAATATTGCAGTTAAAAATGTGCTGGATTTGGAGTCAGAGGACTCAGGGTCAAATCCAGACTCTGCTACTTATTACTTGTATGATCTTGGGTAAGTCACAGCCTCTCTGGTCCTTAGTTCCTTCATCTGTAAAATGATGGGCATGGGACTAAAAGAGCTAGAGTGGAGAAGATCAATGAGCCTTCTCTAGCACTGTGCTCTTATGGAATAGTGGGAGGCAGAATAATACCGCAGATGGAAAGCGCTAGCCTGAGAGTCAGGAACATCTAAAGGTTCAAGTCCTCCCACTGACATATACTGGTTTGTGACCTTGGGAGAGTTACTTAACTTCTTAAGTGTTCTAGGTAACCAGGGGTGTGGTGGAACCAGGTCTGATGCTCAGCAGAGCTGATCCTTAAATTTCCAGTAGGAACATTTACGCCTTGGAAATCAACAAACAAAACAGGACTTGGTTTATTATCTTGTTGATTGTTCAGACTTAAGAAAGTGATAGAGAAAATGTTAAAAATGCAAATCAAACTTAAAATTGGTCCATTTGTATTTTTTAAGAGATCTCATTATTAAACATTTGCCAGTACACCTTATCAGATAACTCTCTAAGACTAGAAATTACTAAGAAGGTACTGATCTGTATTGTTAGAGGGTGTTTTTTCATTTGGATTCCATATACCAGTGAAATTATGAGTCCAGAACTTCTCCCTATGGAGTAGCAAATAGATGGTAAGTTTGCTTGAGGACAGGAAGTCTTTCATTTGCATCTTGTATTTCCATTGCCTTGCACTGTGCCTTGAACAAAGTAAATGCTTAATAAATGTTTGTTGAATTGGACAGAATTGAACAAGCACCCTCTATGTAACTTTCATTTTCAATTTTCATTGGCTGTTACAGGCTGGTTACTATCTCCTCCTTAGTTTCTTCAAAGGGCCTGAAGAGGAAAAATTGACTAGATTATTTCTAACCCTGTTCTCTTTGGTTCTACCTATTTCTGTTACATTCAAAGATTGGCTCAACAGTCATCTGGGCAGTCAAGAAACATGTATTAAACACTTATTATGTGCAAGGTCCTGTGCTAATCATAGCACTAGTGATGAGTGCTTGGCTTAAAAAAAAAAGAATTCCATTAATAAGAACTACAGATTGTTAAGGTTCATAACTTTTGTAATTCAGGAGTTTAACAACTAGGGAGCTAGGGAAAGATAGAATCACAACATTTTAGATTTAGAATGGATCTCACTGACCTTCTAGTCTAACCCATATCACAGAGGGAGAGAGAGAGAGAAAGAGAGGGAGAGGGAGAAGGAGAGAGAGAGAGAGAGAGAGAGAGAGAGAGAGAGAGAGAGAGAGAGAGAGAGAGAGAGTTCCCTCCACAGAACACCAAACAAGTGGTTGTCTAGCCTTTGGCTGATGTCTTCCAATGAAGGGTAACATACTCCCCATTTCTCCCCATCCCAACTCCCCATCCCAAGCAGCCCAACCTCCTTTTGCTTAGCTCAAATTGCCAGGAAGTTTTTCTTGATATCGTCTTTATTCATTCATTCATTCATTCATTTATTTATTTATTATTTATTTATCAAGACTTTTCTGAGACTTCTACTGATTCTTCCTAAATATGCACTTAGGGCCAAATAGAACCAAGCCTAATCCCTTTTATACAGAACAGCCTTTAAGCACTTGAAAACAATTATATCCCTTGGGCCTACTCTTCTCCAAGCTAAAAAAAAAATCCCTCCTTCGCTTCAATGCTCATCATATGGTATGGACTTCATCATTCATGTTGCTCTCTGGACCTCTCCAACTCAGGAGCATCCTTCTCAAACAGTATCACTTCTATTTTAATCCTTTTACTCATGCCCTTGAAGAATGAGCTGCAATGTTAAACTTTATTCAAAGTATTTGGAATTGCAGCAAACATTGGTTAAGCAAAACAAATGTTGTTATATTTAAGATAGAGTCTATGAAAAGGAATTGCTTTAGTGGTATAGTGAATTGTTAAAGCCTAACAAACTTGGCAGGGTTGCTCTAAGCACCCTTAAAGCAGAGAAAATTGTTGGACCAGTAAAGGTCACCTTTCCCTGCATATCTCCTTCCATTTAGATTTATCCCATTTCTTACTAGACCTACTTAAATAATGACTTATCTCTTTGGTGAAACATATCAGTATACAATCGAATATTCTGGTCTGACTGAAAATGACTCTGAGGGAATATAGGAAGGAATATTATGTATAATAGAATGCATTTCTACCAATTGTTTATCTCTTGAAACTTCAGTGACTGATGTTAAATGCAAATGCCAGGATTTCCCCAATTGCTTTTATTTTCAACTGCTGCATAAATTTTAAAGGTCAGTCAGCAGAAATAGAAAAGACCCCTTAAAACCAAAACTAATTTTTTTCATTTAACAGCTATTGATTACATCTCCAGCTAACTGTTTAAGTTTCTCCTTACTGTAGCCTCCCACAAAAGCATTAATGTCTAGAAAAAGAGTTAGAAATGGATATATAAATAGAAAGGGTAACTAGGGAAGCATTAACAGACAATTTATATTTCATTTTTCCTCTTTGCATCCACCAGAAAATGAGTGGAGGTGTCTTATAACATGGTGCTTATTCCTCTGGGCAAATTTTATTCCCAGATCACTCAAAATTATGCTGAAGAAAGCTTAAGGAACGAGGCACATTGTTCCATATTCTCAGTAGTTCGTTACTTGGCGTCTTCATGCTTCTTAGTTCCTTAGGTCTGAAACATAGAGAAAATCAATTGATGAAGTCTCTTTACACTCATGGGAATCTTTTCAAGGTTGAATTGACCCATAGGGCAAGTAGGCATTTATTAGCTATCTGAAGGTAACTTGCATTTTCTCTGCTTTCCCTTTGGGGAGAAGGAGAAGAGTGGTGAGGCTTTGAAGAGCTGGAAAGAATGGGGATGGGGAACTGAGTAGCAATGATCTGCCTTCCTAGGCCTGTCATCTTGAAAATTTCCTTGGCCTTCTTTGGAGAAGTAATCTGACTCTTGAGACTGAAGTCATTATTAGTGTAGAGCTAAATAGCTGAAACTTGAAGAGCCAATATATCTTTATTCTTCTCTTTAAAACATCCTAAACTTCCATAATTATCACGCATCATTACAGGCTATTTCATGTAAGCAGATAGAGTTGTCTGAATATGGCTTATGACTGGGTTTGGGGGGGGTGTAATAATTTAACAACCAGTTATCTAAAAAAAGTATAGATATACTTATAAATTTAATCTGCATTAACATTTTTCTACCATGTTCCTAAATCTAGAAAATCAACAAAAAATAAATCAAACCTTGATTTGTAGCATTTGTCAATTTCTAACATATAAATGCTCAGCCTGAAAATTTATCACTTGGCTCTTAAAAGCCAGTAGGAGCTGGCTCCAGCACCTCCTGCTTATGAGCTACTTCAAGATAACATAAGATCACATATTTAGGGGTAGGAGAGATTTCAGAAGTCATCTAGTTCAACCCCCATAATTTTCCAGATAAGAGAAATGAAGCCCAGAGATGTTGTAGCTTGTCCAAGGTCACACAGCTAGTATGTACAGAATTATGATTTGTACCCAACTCCAAATTCAATGCTTTTTCTGTAATGTCATGCAGAATATATCACTGTTTTTTATCCTATTCCAGTGGGTTTTCTGTTCTCCATGTTCATCTCTTCTATAAATAAGCAAAGTAGATCTCATCTTCCCTTTGCTTCCACTGAAGAGAAAAGTAGCAACTAAATGGAGAAAAAGCAAACACTCTTGATGGAGTTAAAGCAAGGCAGCACAGTTAGTACATAGTTACGGGAAGTTAATGTCAGGTGTCTAATTGAAAATGTATTGATTTCAGCTAGTAAGTAGCCTTTAGTAGAGCTGGAACTTGGGTTAAATAAAACCAGGTAATTAGCTAATGAGGCAAATAAGTACTGTTAAGCACAACAACCTGGTAACTTAGGAACTTACAAAAAGGGCTAAAGACCCTCGTCTATCTCCGTGCGTAGCTTTCATATGGTGAAACAAGTCCAAAGCTACATATGTAAATAGGATAGTTTAAGCTGAACTAAAAGTGTTTATAAACATTTTCCAAATCAAAATATACTGTAAATGCATCCTGGAACCAGATGATGTTAATGAGCAATCCCATCTCCAGTTTTGGAGCTGTAGTAGCTGGTTTAGCCACTGGGGAATTATTTAGTGCCCTAGAGGAAATCTTAAGTAATTTTTATGTTGTTGGTTTTTTTTTTTAATTTATCTTTTGATCTCCTGGAGAAATTCTGTAATCTCCTCATGACTCACACAAACTCTCAACTGTTCATCACAAGCCAGAGAAACTAACACATAGCCTCAACTAATCAATTAACAAGTACTTGTTAAGTCCTTACTATGTGCCAGACACTTGACCAAGTACCTAAGATATAAATAAAAGGGAAAACAGTGCTTGCCCTCAAAGAGAGAATATTCTAATAGACGAGACAAATTGTACATGAAAAGAGAGTGAGAAAAGGAGTCAGGAGAATACTTAAGGCAACCACGTGAAGAACTGTAATCAGTCATTTTTGTACCTGGGGCAAGTGGCAAAAACTGAGCGTGGGGTAAGTGACACTTACTGACATTGTGCTTTGGGCAGACCCAGGGGCACAAATTTCAGGTTGTTGCTGGCAAAGGCATGACAGTGGAGGGGAAATGAAGGAGAAAGAGAAGGTAGGAGAGAATGATAGCTTCCTATTTTAATCAATTATCATTACTAACTAGATACTAAACTCTAAATTCAGTATCCTGGAGCAAAGCTCAGGTCACCCCACACTACAATGTTTTTGATAGAATGCCACTTGGGAAATAGAGAAGTAAGAATATAGAGGGAAAGAATTTAAGAAGGCAGACCAGTTCCACTTTTTACACTCTAGTAATATATGGAAGAAGAATGGGTTTAAGGGGTAGAAGATACTGTTATTTGGAAGTTTGGGAATCAGTCTCAACAAAGCTCTGATTTAAGACATCTTGAATTTGAATGATATCCTAATGAATGTAGTCTCCAAATGGCCGGACTTAATCTCAAATTAGGAAAATCTTGCTGAGAGTTTGATTAAATTAGGCTCTAATCCAAGAGTTCTTAATTTGGAGTTCATATACTTGTTTAGGAATATCATGTTAACTATTTCAATTTAATTGACTTCCTTTGTATATAATTTTATACATTCAAAAACAGTCTGAGAAAAGGTCTATAAACTTCACCAGATTACCAGAGATGTCCATATATACAGAAAAGGTTGAGAAACCCTGATCTAAAACAATCCTTAAGCTCGAACCTTCTTTTGAAGACCTTAGGAAAGTGCTACAAAAGTCTGGCTAATTATCCCGGGATTTTTTTTTTTAAGACAACCCATGCAGCAAATATGCTTGTTTCAGACCAAAGAAGTTTTGTTTGTTGTTGTTTTTTGTTTTGGTTTTGTCCAAGTGATCTGTATTTCTACATGACTACTTTTGAACTCGAAGGCTAATTTTGCCACCCCACCATTAGCACTGGCCACATAGATAAAGGGAGGCGGGGGGGGAGTGCAGCCCTTTGACTGAATCCAAACTTCACAGAACAAATTCCCTTAATAAAAGGATTTGTTCTGTAAAACTTGGACTCAGTCAAAAGGCCGCAGTCAAAAGGACTCAGTCAAGAGGACCTAGATGGCCACATGTGGCCTCAAGCTGAAGGTTCCTCACTCCTGAATTCTAGTACCTTTGATTAGATACCATTAAAGCCAGGGGTCATCAAGAGGCAGAATCCAGGTTCATATAATCTGATCTAAAACATGCAAGAACCAAGAGTCATGAAAATTAGATTTCTAATCTTGCTTCCACTCCTGATTATCAGTGTAACCTTGCCTGAGTCAATGACTTTCTCTATTCTTTTGAGTTCACCTATTTGTACAGGGTTTGTTTGTTTGGGGTTTTTTTTTGGGGGGTGGGAAGGAAGGGGAAGTAATAACAGCTACTTGCTGCTTGCCTTTGTGGGATTTTAAGTGGCTAATTAAAAGCACAACTAGTAGGCACCTGTAGCTTCTTGGGGGAGAAAAGGTCCTTTATAAATTCAAAGTGTGTTTATTAATAGTAATTACTATATTAATAACAACTCCTGTGTTATTAGAGTACTAAAGCAGGTTCTGGTAATGTTGTAACACACCTGGGGCTATCATTTGAACCCACTCAGTCTCTTTAACTTAGCTTCCTGAAAAGAAGATTTTTATTACCTGGGTACAGTTGTACTATTTAACCACCCTAAAAGCTAGAGGGAATTAGAAAAAAGCTCTCTCCATTCTTTAGCTACAAATAACTGGGGGTGGTGGAAAAAAACAAAATAAGAAATCAATAACCTTCTAAACTGCAGGCAAAACTAAGCTAAAGCCATTCATATTCTTTGAAGAAATATAGAGCAAAGCAAAGTCTTCTCTTATTTAGAAGATAAGTGAGCCAAAACAGGCCTCCTCAAAGTTTGAAGGGGAACATTAAAAAAAAAAAAAACAACAAAAAATGACTAAGTTCAGATAGAATTCTGATTTCAAATTGCATCATTAAGGTCCAGGGGCAGGTGCTTCAGAGTTTGGGTCAAAGTTACCCTGCGTGTCACATCGGTAGTTAATGCCTTTGATTCTGTCCTCAAAGGCTTTTGTTTACTGTTAGGTAAAGAAATCAGGGAGCAGGGCAGGTAACGTTCTGTCCTGATTCTCCTTGTCAGGACTTGTGTTTCAAACCCCCGGGGAGGGAGGTGTCCGAGGAGGGGCAGGGAGGACGAGATAGGCAAATTTTGTCTACTTCTGTGTTGCAGTGAGGCAGTATGCCCAAGCACAACCCAGGTCACACAAACCTCAGGAGGAAGCATATTAAGTTGTAGGGTCAGGCCAAGCACTTTCAGCTTCTACAACTGGTGATTCTCCTAAGGCATATGACAGTTTCTCACACCACGAATGGAGAACAGGAAACCTATAACATACAGCTGTCGGGCCTCCAAGGCAGTTACTCTGGCTTGAGAAGGAGACAAGTTTATGATCTCATATGTCTGGGCACTCCCTCTATTTTCTTAGCAAACCCTCCAAGCCTTTTCATCCCATGCCTATATCTTTTCTGTATTTCCTCCTTGGGAGAATCATCCAGCTCACTGGAGGCTTTACTTTGGTTCTTTTAATACCTCAGATAGAACATTGATGACCATATCTCTGTTTCTTAATCTCACTGTATTACTAGCCTCCAGGACAGCTGTTGCCTTTCTCCCTATTGTTCATTAGAGGTGTGAGAAAATGTCCTATGTCTCAGGAGAATCACCAGTGATACAGCCTTTTCTGTTCACACATTATTTGTATTTAGGATCATAGGTCTAGAGATAGAAGGAGCCTCAAAGCCCTAGTTCAACCCCTTCATTTTACATAGAGGGAAAGAAACTAGGGCTCAGAGTAGTTAAGGGAGCTGCCCAAGGGCATACAGGTAATAAGTATCAGGTGTAGGATTTGAACGCAGCTCTTTTAACTCCAGAACCATAGTTCTTTCCATTGTACCACGTGTCCTTGATCATGTTTTTAATGCTACTTCTTGCAAGTAAATAAGGTATACTCAGGTCACAATATCATGGAACTGCAGATGTGGAGCCAGAAGGGACCTCAATCACTATCTACAACTTTCGTTTTTCGGAAGAGGAAGCTACTTTTGCAGAGATGCATTCTACCAACCACCTCTGTAGGTGCTGCAGCT